TAAAAAGGGTGGAGTACTAGGAAGTCAGAAGGAAAGTCTCAGCAAGGGATAAAGGAGAATGCGGATCAAGGGTGAGAAGAAGGAGACAGTCTGTAGGAATGGCTGGGCCACTCTAGCTGGTACCTCATGCCTAATTCTCAGTTGAAAGTGCGAGAAACTTGTCAGGAAAAATCCTTATGCATTCAAATGTCTCTGACTTTGATTCACAGAGGATGGGAGGCAAAACACGAGAATGTGGGATGTTAACATAAGCGTGGCCATTCTCGCAGGGAGAGAGGACACGCCTGCCCGGAATGCAGCGGTAGAAGGAAGCGGCCTTACGTAGGACGTAGAGATGCACAAAGATGGCCTGGTCCTGTACAGAAAACCACTCACTGTGGGTGGAAGCAGGACAGAATTACAGGAGACGTACAAACCAGAGTCCTGCTAGGGTGAGGGGTCACCACGGGATGGGCTTTCTGAAGGCAGAGCATGTAACCACAAGCAAGCAATCACAGGGCCGGGGACTGGAACTCGCTTTGTGTCTGCTGGAGGTCACACTGGGCTAAAATAGAATCACTTATAAAAATGTTTAACATTCCTAGCTAACAATTTCAGCTCTCAGAGAGGAGAAACTGCCCTTCTAGATATAACTTTAACCAACAAGAAAAAACTGGTTTCTGTACAGAAATTACAGGGACTCAGGGAGAAAGTGACCATGTCTCTTGGGAGTCCATAATAGCAAGGCAGGGGAGCGTTGCGCAAATCCTGAGGCAATGCAATCATGACGAACTCTGGTGCGAAGGAAGCGGATAAGTAAACTCCGAAGCCAGTGTGGCCACACACAAAACTTTCCCATGAGTTCGTGCTTTTAAAAGGACATCGTTCACAAGAGATAATGAGGGACACATACCAAGAACAATACGAAAAATGAAGGTTTTCAGCAAGGCTAAAGCCTCAGCTAATGGGAAATCCAAGAAACATGAGAGATTAAAAAGGGGTTCCATGAAGGGTTCAGTTCAGAGAGAGAAAGAGAATGAGGTGGGAGAGAAGAAGAGAGGGAGAGAGGGAGAGAGGAAGGGAGGGAGGGAGGGAGGAAGGAGGGAGGGAGGGAAGCAGGAAAGATAAAAGAAGGGAATAAGGAGGAAGAAAAGGAAGAAGAGAAGAACAGGAAGTAATAGATCCAAGAAGATGATATAATGTTAACAGGCAACTAAAAGTCCAAATTACCAAAAATTCAAATTCTATCTTATGGAGTAAGAAGAATAGATTTTTGAATTCTAAATGTGCAAAGAAGCAAAGAAGACCATGAAAGGAGGAAAATGGAGCCCACAATAAGTTAGGGAATTAAAAAAAATCTTGGCAGAAGAAATGATTTCAATCCTCTAGGCCCAGACAGATTATAGTCTAGAGTGTGAAAAAAAAATTGCAGATATAATCTCAGAGCCACTGGCAGTGAGTTTGAGAAATCATGGAAAATGGGAAAGATGCCAGAAACCTTGGGGAATGTTCTATTTTGCAATATGTTGAGTTTGGGGGGAAGCCCAACAGATCCTGAAAATAAAGACCTATGAGCTAGATATTATTCCCATCAAGGAGAATGAATCCAATTAGACTCTGTGGTGACCAGGAAACATCTGCTTTTTTTCATGAGGGATGTTGTCAGAATAGAGTCTTCCAACAGAAAATGAGCAGTGTGGAGAGGAAGTCGGAAGCCATGCCATCCAAGGGAGGTGGAGAGGTCTATGCAGCACAGTAATGAAATGACTAAGAAGGGTACCAGAGATTTGATACGCAGTCATGTATAAGGAGCTGTGGAATCAATTTGTGTTGCCTTAGGACACAGAAGTAGGGCTGATGATGACATTTCAGTAGGTGGATTTTTCTGTAACATTTAAAAAGTATTTTCTGGTCATTCATTCAACAAGTGTTTATTGAGCACCTATTGTGTGCCAGAAACTGTGCTAAGTGCTGAGGATCCATGAAAAAATGACAAATACTAAAATATTTTCAAAATATTATATTACCCTCTTCAAATATATATATATACACACTAATAAAAGACAAAGATGCTAATTGACCGTACCTTCGCTATGCCCATCAGCCAATCAGAAGAGTGTGCAAATTAACCCAACAAAGATGGCCGTTAAATTTGCTTACTGCAGGCGGGGCAGCAAAGCACAAGCTGCCACCCGCCCACCGCCATCTGGGCCTGCCATCTACGACCCAGCACGGGATCAGGGCCTGCCATCTGCAACCCGGGGAGCGGGCCTAAGCCAGCAGGTGGTTATCTCCCAAGGGGTCCCAGACTGTGAGAGGGTACAGGTCGGGCTGAGGGACCATCCCCCCCCCCCCGCCAGTGCACAAATTTTTGTGCACCGAGCCTCTAATATATATATATATATATATATATATATATATATATATATATATATATATATTTAGTTCCTACCTTCATTGGACTTAGAGTCTTATGGAGGAAAACAATAAAGTAAACTAAGAAACATAATCACAGGTTATAGCGAATGACAAGAAGGCGAGAATAGAGGATAGGGAGTAACAGAGAATATCTACTTTAAAGATGGTTTTGGGAAAACTTCTCTAAGGAGGTGACATTCGTGCTGAAACCCATATGACAACAAGGGTAGGATTCTGTGACCAGTTTGGGGCAGAGGGAACACGGGGTACAAAGGCCCTGAGACTGGAATGAGCTTCACTTGTTTCCAGAACTGAAAGGAGCGGGGATGGTGAACTTGGTGAGCAAGAGGAGCAGAATGTGGGACTGTGAGAGAAGACTGAAGAGGGAGACAGGAGTCAGGGGAGTGAGGGGATGAGGTGTGGCCATCACGAGGAATTCAAAATGTCTCCTAAGCAATATGGGAAGCCATTGAAAGTTTTAGCAAGAAAGCCATGTGTTCTGGCTGAGGCGTGTGTTCTTTTTTGTTTTGTTTTGTTTGTTTTTAAATACATTTTACTGATTTTTCACAGAGAGGAAGAGAGAAGGATAGAGAGTTAGAAACATGGATGAGAGAGAAACATCCATCAGCTGCCTCCTGCACACCCCCTACTGGGGATCAAGCCCACAACCAAGGTACATGCCCTTAACCAGAACCAAACCCAGGACCCTTCAGTCCGCAGGCCAACGCTCTATCCACTGAGCCAAACCGGTCAGGGCGCGGTACTCCAGCTGCTCCATGTTAGCTGGATCCGAATGGGGCCACGGGGAAAGCGGAGAGCGCTCAGGAGCCTGCTGTCGCATTCAGATGAGGCCACGGCGGGAATTGAGGGTGTGGAGGCACGTCGTCGGAGAGCTCAGTTGCAGTTTTTTTTGAGGTAACAGAGACAGAATTTACTGATGAATTGTTATGGAGTTGGAGGGACTGGAAGCAAAATGACTAGAATGATCTGAACGTGGACTCAGGGGGTGGGCATTTAAGGGCCACCTGAGAGAACACTGCAAAATGGGGCCTGGAACAGGGCTGACAGGACGGACTAGAAAGACGAAGGTTCCATGTGACTTGGTGATGCTGACAACAGAACTCCTAAGAACAGGTGTCCAGTACCAACGTCAGGCTGCAGGGCTACCAAAAGCGCCAGAAAACAAGTTCTTGGTTTGGCACAATTCTTTTTTCCCCCCTCTCTATTGATTTGGGGGGGGGGGGGGGGGGGGAGTGAAAGAGAGAAACATCTATAAGAGAATGAAACATCAATTGGCTGCCTCCTGCACACCCCCTACCTGGGACTGAGCCTGCAACCTGGGCATGTGCCCTGACTGGGAATCGAACCGGCGACCCTGCAGTGCACGGGACAACACCCAACCAACTGGGCTACAATTCTTAAACTGTAACTGGTTATAAACATAATCACATGCACCAATAAATCATTTCTATGGAAACTTACAGTGTTCCCCGTGAAAATAAGGCTACAAGAGGAGTTGTAAGAATACTTTGCTATATATATGTTGTATTCACATGTATATGTTATATATATATATATATATATATATAGCTTATATAATCATACACCTTAGCTTATAACTTAAAATATAGAAAGTACCCATGCTTTCAATGCACATGATACACATTAAGACCCAACAGACACAAATACCACAGATTTTACTAAAGAGAACACAGCATTCTCGTCCTGTTACATCATCGGGAGAAGCCATCTCTTGAGAAGAGAGGTTTTTCAAATGCAATAAAACCTTAAGACTTTTCCATGACAGAATGGATCCCCCAAATCAATCCTCTCGTCCCTGTTTCACTCCCAATAATCTCACCTCCCACCCAGGGAAAAATTCCTGCCTTCAAGTATCATAAATATTGGGTGAGCGGCAGAGCACATGAGCATTTAATTGTGGCGAGGATTCTTCTCGAGTGCATATCAATCTCCCAGAGGTAGCCAGGCCCCGGCCACAGATCACTGCTGAGACTAGATCTGCTGTGCTGCTAGCCCTTTATGCTGCATCTGTCTGGCAACAATTAAACATCAGGGTTTAAACTCCAAATCACAAACAGCTTGACCTCGGCCCCACCGCAAGCTGTGAATAGTTAGGCCACCAAAAATATCACTGAGTTAAGTGTATGTGGGAACCTCACCCTGGGTCCTTTTCTCAATATTCCATTCAATTGACATTTAATTTTCTTTGTTGAAAAAAACTGAGAGAGAAAGAGAGAGAGAGGAGGAAAACTGAAGCCTCGATGTTGGCCAGCAGGTGGGATTTTGCATGTTTCTTATTCGGGGGCCCAGACTGTGGTTTCAACTGCAGTGGGGTGTTTTGTCTAACAGTCTGGGCTGTAGCGTGTGTTGTTCCACAAACAATTTGTCACACCGTGAGAGCTGCATGTTCGGGGACAGAGATCGCTCATACCATATGGCACAATGCGCTGCCCTTGTCAATTACGGCCCTCGGTGGCAGGTGATTCCTCAGGCGGGACGTCGTGAACGCGTCAGGGTTTTGTGTCTGCGGAGTGCCGGGTGATAACCTCTAGCAGGCACAGTCAGCCGGGAAGACACGCCTGTTAACGACCACGAAGCGCCAATGGCCGGAGGACTTTCCCACAGTAGCCGCGTTTGGATGGGTGATTGCGGAAGAGGATGCTTGAAGAAGAAAGAGTTTACCGCCAGATGCAGGTTCTGGCACAGATCATCCTAACGATGCTGCTGCGATAGGTCCTAAAATGTTAACTTTGGTCCCCACCCCCCACCCCCCATTCAACGTTTGTTCTATCCCGCCGTACTGATGAAACGCATCTACAGAAAAGCCCACAGTGAAAAACATCATGGAGTCGGCCAGCTGAGCAAAACGTTGCGAAACAATCCATTAGGGATGGCCTGGCGAGAAGGACGCCACTCCATCGGCAGCGGGCGTGTGGGAGCTCCGCTCTCTAGTCATCCCGCAGCGTCTGCTCACGGTTACCCCGGTTACCCCGAGAGAAAGAGCACGACAAGCTTTGGAGCGAATGCGAGAGAGGCCCGGGGCACAGGGGCCTGCCAAGGCGCAGAATCCGCTGGAGGCATGGAGGACGCAGGCTGGGGCGGGCGGGGCGGGCGGGGCGGGCGGGGCGGGCGGGGCGGAAAGGTGGAGGGGCAAGTTGAGAAACTTTTAAAAAGAATCAGAAAGCAATTCGGAGGGCGGTAAAAGGGAAAGATGGAAGAAAGCAGCCTGTGCCCCTCTGGGAGCTCTGCCCTGCGTCATCAAACCCCCTCGTTTGCCCACAAACGCTAGAAACAGTGGGTTCTTATTTTCCATTTTGAAAAGACAAACAACAATTTTAGGGCAGTTTTAGGACAGAGGATAGAAAATGTTCTTCGCTCCAAATGAACGAGGATATCGGGGAAATGGACCAAGGCTGGGGGAGGAGAACCAGCGCTGGCCGTGACCGCGGACCAGGGCCGGCTTTGGGTCAAGGCCGCCTGGGCGCGAGCTTTCGTCCTCCCTGGAGCGGTTAAGAGCACGTTGGCGGTCGCGCTGCCTCGGTGGGACAGAGCTGTTTGAACACGGATGACGCCTTCCTGCAGATTCCGGAGCTGCGGCCCAGGCAGCTTTCCCAAGGCAGCGCCCACACTTTGATCTTCTGGGGGCTCTGACATCTGTTCTTATTGTCTGCACATTCATCCGCTCGCATCAAAGCTCATGGCGAGACCACGGAACAGCAGTCTGAGGCCCCAGAACCTGTCCAAGGCTAATAGAGCCGAGATTTACACTTTTGAGATAATAGCGTCCCGCTAATGCAAGCCAAGAGGCAATCCGCCCGCCGGGATTATGAAATATCCTACGTGCTGCAGAGCAGGGAACACTGTTTTAGGAATGAATCTTAAATCTCTCAGGCCTGCTGGCCCTCGCATGCGGTGTTACAGCCCAAGTTATGACTCTTTGCTTCTACGTAGGATGTTAGGCATCCTCTCCTCATAGGCGCTCCCCAGTTAAGAAAGAGGTGCCCAGGAACAAGCCTCCCTCACACACTAGCTCTAGTCCCGAGCCTCTGTGAGGCGCTGGTTCCCACCAAAAGAACCCCCCCCCCCCCCCCCCCCCGCATGGCCTGGCTGTCCTCTGCGGTGGCATCTCTGAGCCCTCAGAATGACAGAGCTGGTCCATGGGTCAGGGAGGCCGGCACGGCCCCCATGCCAGATCGATGGCCTGGGCCCAGAAGCCACGTGCTCGACTTGCGGTTCCAAGGCAGTGGTTCTCAACCTTCTGGCCCTTTAAATACAGTTCCTCATGTTGTGACCCAACCATAAAATTATTTTCGTTGCTACTTCATCACTGTCATGTTGCTACTGTTATGCATCGTCATGTAAATATCTGATATGCAGGATGGTCTTAGGCGACCCCTTGAAAGGGTCATTTGACCACCAAAGGAGTCGCAACCCACAGGTTGAGAACCGCTGTTCCACGGTCTTTCCGGAACACAGCTCCTACATGGGGGGTGTGTCCAGCCTGCCCGCCCGCCCGAGTCACTCCTTCCCGTCCCCATCTTGTCCACATAGGCTTTCCATGTGTGAGCTCTGCACGGAGCCAGGGGATTGGCTGCTGGTGGAACGGCAAGCACCATCGCAAGTTATGGAGAGGAGGGATGGTCTGGGGATGGGAGGGAGGCCTGCTCCCCGCTCAGACCCTCTGGGGAGAAGTGGTCTTCTCCATGGACGCACTCCCCTCCCAGACTCCGCACAGCTGAGGGCTCACTCTGGGGAAGACTCGTGGGGTGAAGGCATTCGTGATGCACGTCCAGGTGAAAGGGAGGCGGAAGGGTTTCTTTTGCCTAACTGTCCAGTCTGGATGTGCCGCATTGTTTGTTCATCATCAGTTCATGGACATTTGGGCTGTTTCTACTTTGGATCTACTATTAATAACGATGCGATGGCCATTCATGTCCAAGTTTGTGTATAAACACATGTCTTCGGTTGAGTGGAAACTTTGGGTCATACGGTAAGTTTATTTTTTACTTTTTAAGGAACCGCCAAACTGTTTTCCACAGTGGCTGCACCACTTTATATTCTCAGCAACACTTGAGGATTCGTCTCCTCGCCCGATGCTAACTTTTTTGTTATAGCATTTTAATGGGTGTGAAGTGTTATCTTGAGTGATTTGATTTGCATTTCTTTGATGGCTAGTGATGTAGAGCATTTTATCATGTGCTAATTGTCCACTTGCATATTGGAACAGTATTTATTCACGTCCTTTGCTCATTTTAAAAATTGGGTTATTTTTCTCTTTATTGTTGAATTGAAAGAATCCTCTATATATTCTAAATACTAGATCCTAATCAGATATAGGGCTTGCAAATATTTTCTCTCAGTCCGTGGGCTGTTTTTTCACTTTCTTGATAGTGTCTTTTGACACACAAAAGTTCTTAATTTTGATGAAGTCCAATTTATCTTTTTTTTCCGCTGGTCATACTGTGCTTTTAGTATCATATCTAAGAAACTACTGTCAAATCCAAGGTCACAAAGATTTACATCTATGTTTTCTTCTAAAAGTTTTATAATTTTAAGCCTTGTATTTATATCTTTGATCCATTTTTTAATCTTCACCCAAGGAATTTTTTTCCATTTATTTTTTCGAGAGAATGGAAGGGAGCGAACGAGACAGAGAGAAACATTGACGTGAGAAAGACACATCAACTGGTTGCCTCCTGCACGTGCCCTACCAGGTCCGGGGATTGGGCCTGTAACTGAGGTATTGCCCTTGGCCAGAATCAAAGCTGAGACCTTTTAGTCAGTAGATAATGCTCTAACCGCAGAAAAACCAGGCAGGGCTTTGATCCATTTTTAATTCATTTTCATGGGTGGTGTGAGATAGGGTTCCAGATTCACTTGTGAATAAGCAGTTGTCCCAGGGCCATTTGATGAGAAAACTATTCTTTTCCCATTGAATGTCTTGATACTCTGGTTAAAAATCAATTGACCAGCCCTAACTGGTTTGGCTCAGTGGATAGAGCGTCGGCCTGCGGACTCAAGGGTCCCAGGTTCTATTCCAGTCAAGGGCATGTACCTTGGCTGCAGGCACATCCCCAGTAGGGGGCGTGCAGGAGGCAGCTGATGGATGTTTCTCTCTCACTGATGTTTCTAACTCTCTATCCCTCGCCCTTCCTCTCTGTAAAAAATCAATAAAATATATTTTAAAAAAGCAATTGACCATAGATAAATGGGTTTATTTCTGGGCTCTCAATTCTATTCCATTGGTCCATATGCCCATCTTATGCCAGTACTACACTGTCTTAATTACCGTAGCTTTGTAGTAGGTTTTGAAAATGGGCAGTACACGTCTCTACCATTGTTCTTTTTCCAAGAGTGGAATGGCTATTCTGGGTTAAAAACTTTTAATACACCTTCCACCCATGTTGTGAAACTGGGTTCTCTCTGAGATGCCCCCAAAAAAGAAGTAAAGAGGGAACACAGTGTCGCTTCTCTGATGTGGCTATACGACTTGATCTTAAAATACAAAAGAGCCTTTCTCTTTCTTTCTCTACATTATAGTCCACGATCCCCAGGGGCCTGCACAACATTTCTCCATTTGCAAAACCCAGAATCCATGTCCATGTAAACGTGGTAAAAGGCACCTATAGTCCCTTTTCGCCAATGTCATGCTTCCTGGGCAAATTCCGTGATGGTTCTCAAAGGCTGGGATCCCCCAGGGTCTTGTATTTCTCATAAAGAACCAGTCAGGCCCTTGCCCAATTATTTCCACGCAGGGTCAATGTCTCTAAGAAGCTTAACTCTTGTTGGAGAAAGAAAACAAATAGCACACAGCAGTCACAGAGCAAAAGCAAGAAGAAAATCAGGCACCTTCTACTTTCAGAGTCAGAGGCCATGGCCATTGAGGGGTGGGGATGGCTTACAAACTTTAAAAAATAAAATTCTTAAACGATCTAGCTTTCAAAGATAAAATGGCTATATGGACATAGACCAGCCGTGGGCAAACTACGGCCCGCGGGCCGGATGCGGCCTGTTTGAAATGAATAAAACTAAAAAAAAAAAAGACCGTACCCTTTTACGTAACGATGTTTACTTTGAATTTATATTAGTTCACACAAACACGCCATCCATGCTTTTGTTCCGGCCCTCCGGTCCAGTTTAAGAACCCATTGTGGCCCTCGAGTCAAAAAGTTTGCCCACCCCTGTCATAGACCCTGTAGACAATTGTATGTTTGGCGTAAGTGCCTCACACAACATGAAAGCAGGGAAATATGTGTTTCTCTCTGTGAACAGGTCTTGCAGCCTATACTCCTGACCTTGGTTTCTGATAAATATAATGAGAGTTTTCGAGAATATTACAGAAAGGCATTCGGCAGCATGAATGCTCTGGTACGGGGCACAGGAAGCATGGGGCTGTTCTCCGAACTCTGTATGCGTAACAGCTACAGAGTGAATTGGGGGCAAGAGAGGGTTCGAAGGGCCTTTCTGCTTTCATTGGCTTTCTCAGAAGGTGCTGGAAGGCGTTCATACAGCAGCCACACAAGAGCAAAGCACAAGGCCAGCCTGGTCAGTGCAGCTCAGTGGTTGAGCATCGACTGCTGAACCAGGAGGTCACAGTTCAATTCCCAGTCAGGGCGCATGCCTGATCCCCAGTGGGGGGCCTGCAGGAGGCAGCCAATCAA